GGAGTAGTTGGGAGTACACCTGTTACCTTAAAAATGACAAGTAGAGAAGAAGATGAAGTCTTTATTTGTCACATACACTGTTACATATAGCAAAATTGGACCCCTCCGACCATACACAAACATCACACATTTTAGGGAAAGACTGATCAGATGATAGGCAGCTTTAGAAAGAGGAAATAAGATACATTAGGGGAAAAGGGAGGGCGAAAAAAGCCCCTCCCAGACTGTACTTAACGTAGGGCTGTGTGAGATCAGGGGAAAAAAGCCCCAGCAACGTTGACCTAACTTAATTTTTATAGTTTTGCACTTACTTAATATTTTTCAAGGCAACAGGTTTACAAACGTTTTTGAGAAAAGCCAACTAATGGTTTTAAAAAGCAACAGGTTTACTTACATTATAAGTAAAGTCAACTAGTCGCTTTTTAGCAGTGATATTTCTTCCCTGTCAATCGGTAATGGTTTAGGATTTCACGTTACAGTGATTTCAGTTTTTTAGAGCAGATCAATTTGCAACTTCTGTTCAACACAAACTGCATTTTAATACTAAAAATCAATCAAAAAGTGCTCAGGGGTAGCTTAAATAATGGATCGGTGCTCGTTGGTTAAGGGATTCATCAGAAACAACAGCAAAAATCAGTCTAAGGCACTCGAAAAATGCGGACAAAACATTTTTGAAATGTGCATTAAAAAAACAGTTGATGGAAACGCCAAGATGCGCATCAATTTTGAAAAACCAAATGTCAGTGTAAAACCCAGTACTTTTTTATAGTAACCTTTCTAATTATTATTTTTATTATTATTAGAATTTTTATTATTATTAGAATTTATTATTATTATTTTGGGTACCTATAAAAAGCTCAGTACTATAGTAAATTTGAAGTAGATAATAAATAAGTAGATAATAAAAAAGTCAAAAATGGGTGTTATTCAATACTTTCTGGATGACTTTTATGAAATGTTTTGATCCACTTTAAGTGTTGACAACTGTATACTATATAAATAACTCATTTGTAACTAACTATAATAAGCTTTATACCAGGGCTGGGCGATACAGCAAAAATGCAGTCTGGATAATTATTTTCTATATTGAATAATAACGATATATATTTCGATATGTTGTTAATGCTTCCACTTTTAAAAGAGTATCCTAACTATGATCGAAGGCGAATACTGCTGGCGGGAAAGTGAAACGAGCTGGCTGAACAATACTGGGTGACGTAGCATGACCTATTTTTGGCCGATAATTCTCAGCGACCAAATATTTGTGAATCTATAATATCAACACAATTTCAGATTTCTGTTGCATATTTCTACTGTGTGATTGTCTCTTAGGATCAATTTAGAGTAAAAAATGTTCAGAGCTTATCATCATTATCAACATATATTTTACTGCAATTCGATATGATTTCGTTTTATCAATAAAATATTCAAGAAAAAAATGATCTGTCCTATTCCATTGGCTATGCTGATGGCACAGACATGAGTGTGAATCCTCCTCATTCTCTCAGTGACTAAAGGAAAAGCTAGCCTGTGTCAGAGGAACAGAAGGAGAAGTGTTTGTTTGGCTGCTCATGCTGCAAGAGAGAGAGAAACTGAGGGAAAACAGAGGAAAAAACTTGGCTGATTGAGTCACAACAGAGGGAATAGCCATAATTAAGACAGACAGACAGAGGGAGAGAAATGAGAGAGGGCTGTGATGATGACAGTGCATCAAAGCTGACACTGAGCCGTCTTTAATCTACTCCACCAACAGATCAATGAAAGTCACTGTACGGTAATGCTGTTTGTGGCATTAAATGGACACCTGACCTCTTATTACATTTACAAATGAAATTTATTATTTGCTGAGGCATTTCTTTACTTACTCTGGCTTAAGTTAAATACTTAATTATTGAATCTATATTTAAATATGTGGAGATTAGTAGTGTTATTTTATATTTATGGTGGCTTGAGAAAAGCAACATACTGTTATGCATAAACTTATTAAGCTTCCAGCTTCTTCTTCTACTGAGATAAATTTCTTTATGCGTCTCCTCCTAGACCGTTCGCTAACATTAAACTAACATTAAAGCTCCAAACTGGTCTGACTCGGATTGTTATATCTTTTCCAAGTGATCCGACTTACAGTTTTTCAAAAACCGACCCGGAAAATTCTAAAAAGTCCCATTGACTTAACATTGGACCAAATTTTTGACCTCATAACTTTTCACCATACAGACTTAAGGTTGAGCTCATTAAACTCAGACTACCAATCTGTCAATCACCGATGACCTTTAAACTTACTAGCCACACCCTAGCAACCACTTTCGGCCCCCTAGCAACTGTCCCATAGACTTACATTGTAAAAAAACTGCCATTGACTTTACATTGGACATACTAACAACATACCAATTCATACTAGCAATAAACTAATCATACTAGACACATAGTAACAATATACCTGTCAATACTAACTACATACCTGAAACATACTAACAAACATACTAATCATACTAGCAACATGCTAATTCATACTAAATTCATGCTAACAACATGCTAGTTTTATTATTATAGTTGTGCAAAAACTGATGGCAGCTGTGTATGAAATTTAATATTCGTAATATTCCAATTTGAAAGATTATTAATAAATGACTATGGAAAAAATAACCTCTTTAGTTTATTCAATCATCATATATCATTTTATATGATATTATATTATATGGTTTTATATTATATTATATTATATTATATTATATTATATTATATTATATTATATTATATTATATTATATTATATTATTCAATCATTCATCCATTTTCTTTTTGGCTTAGTCCCTTTATTAGTCCAGGGTCGCCACAGCGGAATGAACCACCAACTTATCCAGCATGTTTTTACGCAGCAGATGCCTTTCAAGCCGCAACCCATCTCTGGGAAACATCCACACACACTCATCCACTCTCATACACTACAGAAAATTTAGCCTAGCCAATTCACCTGTACCACATGTCTTTGGGCCCTGGTGGAAACCCACGCGAACACAGGGAGAACATGCAAACTCCACACAAAAATGCCAACTGACCCAGCCAAGTCTCGAACCAGCGACCTTCTTGCTGTGAGGCGACAGCACTACCTGCGCCACTGCATCGCCCTATATTATATTATATTATATTATATTATATTATATTATATTATATTATATTATATTATATTATATTATATTATATTATATTAACAGATGACAGCTGTGTGTGAAATGAAATATGCATATTGAAATATAAATTGATACAAAACCAAACGACTAAAAAATTTTTTTCTTTGGGACCGGGCAAGCTATATTTATCCCTTAACAAAAAACACATGCCACTTTGAGAAAGGAAAGTGAGCCAGAAAAACAACTCATTCTTATGTAATAGTTCTAAACTGAGTTTGCTTTTCTGTGGGACTTCAAGAGCCGTAGGGAATAAATCTCTTTTTGAGAAGTTTTGACCATGTCTAAAACCCATTGTATTGTACAGTACAGCATTATAGGGTGTGACTAAAGCAATACAGCATCTGTTTTAAGATATGCCAGGAACATTCTTACTGACTTTTGGCATTGTAGTTGTTTTTACTAAGGTTGTTTTGTTTAATCCACTACCGATCGGCTGATAATTGCTTTTAATACTTGATCAGCAACTTCTCAGTTTGCCAATCTCATGTGGATGATCCCAAAAGACATATGCATCTGCTGTTAAATCAGATATGCTGTTTTATAGCTGTTAACCAGTCTGCATTAACAGCGGCAACTCATTAGTCAGCAACCGTATAAAAGCACAACTATACAAGAGTCTCTGCTGAAATTTTCATCCCCTTCATTATTATTCTGAGTCAGTGTTGCTAGATTTTACACTTTATGAAAGGTTAACTTCCCAAAAAAATAAAAGCTACATAAAATAAGCAGATTTGGCAACACTGCTCTTGAGAAACAAACAAAGAAAATGTAAATAAACAACATCCAACAACTAAAATGTGTGGAATGTAATTCATAATGTATTGAATTATATTTTAAAATTTAGATAGTATGCTTGATAATAAATAAAATTATAATACTTTTGAATAATTCATAAACCCTGGGTTATTATTAGCATCTATCTATCATTAAGCATTGAAGGCTCTTTTCTCATAAGCTTATACATTTTACTATTGAAAATAATTTAGTATGTCTGTTTTTTGTTTTGTTTTTGTTTTTTGCACACCCAGCCAATCAGAATCAATCATTTCAACAGACCATGGATTAAAATCATTTAATGCACAGGTAGTTCCAGCTTTGATCACAGCTTGAAAAAAAGAGCTCCCTAAACATTAGTAGTAACCATCATAACCATCAACCATCTCTGTTTAATCTAGAGGACACTGATGAGTGCTTTACCAGGTTTCTAACGGGGATAAATCAACTCACAAATCTGATCCGAGATATTAGTGAAAAGGTAGCTAATATGTTAGTATGAGCTATTAGATATGTCTGTTTCATTTAAATGCACGCACATTACCTCTCTCTTTTCCTCAAAAATCCTGATCAAGAGCATGTGTAATTTTTTTACACCACACTTTTTAAAGTCTGTGTGAATCGGAAGTTGCTGAGACTTTTATTTCAGTATGTTGATGTACTTCCATCTGAAACGGAATGTTGAGTAGGGTGCAGGGTTTTGTTTGTGCATAATTCCTTCATAGCAAACTAGTGGGGGTGTGGTTAAGAATATTAATATGCAGTTGCTATGAAAACCCTCAGGTTGACGTCAACAGAAGGATCGTCACTCCGAATGTGGAAGCAAATGGTCAGACTGTGATTGAAGATTAACAAAATTCTTTTTTTCCAATGGTTTCACTTGCAAAGATTACCAGTCTACCTTAAGATTAATAATATGAGCTAGTCAAAATAAACAGCGTAAATTTTCATGCATACTTTAAAATATAAATAAATTAGCTCTTTATTTGACCTATAACAAATCCCTTGTGTCTTTTCTCCTCACTGCTCTGCTCAGGTTTCAGGAGCATCTCTATAGGTAAGTTGTTTGTCAAGTGTTGAAGGTAGTTTTCTCTAGCAAGGACTGTAGATCCCCATATGTAGTTTAGAGGTGTTGTGTGTGTGTGTGTGTGTGTGCTTCTTGTGTTTGTGTGTGTGGTGGTCTTAAACCACACTATTTGCTGAACAGATTAATTGTGTCCTAAATGGAGACCTATTGACCTTATTCTGCAATGCGGAAGTGCACTCGTTTTGCAAGTTTTAAAACTTCCGATTCAGTTGCCTATGGGAGAAAAGACTAATAAACGGCAGAAAAACAGTCAAACTGCTTGTTCTACAAACAAGTGTGTTCATGACTATACATAAATATATAATAGTATAATAATGAAATATCAGTTTGCTGCATAACAAGCTGTTTTTAACGTCTAAAAATCATTGAAACGAAATGAGACCGGAAGTCTCGAGCCCAAAAAAATCCTGATGGCTGCACCCACTTGTATGTAAAGAATAAGGTCAATATAATGCACTAGTACACTCAACCATGTAGTGTATGAGTTTAGTGACATCCCAAATAGAATGCTAATGTGTTTTTACTAAACAGAAATTCAAATATTTTCCCAGATGACGTTTAACAGTTGCCAAATTAGTTAACTAATGACCAAACTACCCAATAGTATCTGTAATGAGTAAAATAGCACTCACATAGGAGAATTTTCTTTTCACAAACCAAAATAAAGTAACAACCAACCTCAGTGCCTGATGGCTCAGATCCCTCTCCTACACAATAAAAATGATCAGTTAATTAATAGTTTCTGTATTTTGTGATTCACCTGGTGTTTTCTGTTTATACAGGGTTGTGAATTGCATTATGGGAGTTTTTATCTCTGCTCTGTGAACTTTGTTTAAAACTCAACTCTACAGTTTAACAAAGTGACTTTTATTGGCAAATTTTAGTAGTCTGAGAGAGAATATTGTTTAAGAATATACACTACCTGACAAAAGTCTTGTCGCCTTACTAAGTTTTAGGAACAACAAATAATAACTTGACTTCTAGTTGATCATTGGGTATCAGAAGTGACTTATATGAAAGGCAAAGTCCTCAAGATTTTATTAAAATAAAATATGATCATGCTTTTTTTTTAATGATTTAATTAGGACAGTAAGGTCTGACTTTGCTTAGACTAAAGTCTTGTCACTTAACAGAAATAATTTACAGAATAAAATATAAAGTCATGGTGCAGTGGAAAAAAAATAATATTGTGTATGACTCCCATGAGCTTGGAGAACTGCATCCATACATTTCTGCAATGACTCAAATAACGTATTAATAAAGTCATCTGGAATGGCAAAGAAAGCGTTCTTGCAGGACTTCCCAAGAGTTCGTTAAAAACCTTTGGATTCATCTCCAATGCCTCCTCCTCCATCTTACCCCAGACATGCTCAATATTGTTCATGTCTGGTGACTGGGCTGGCCAATCCTGGTGCACCTTGATCTTCTTTGCTTTTAGGAACTTTGATGTGGAGGCTGAAGTATGAAAAGGAGCACTATCCTGCTGAAGAATTTGCCCTCTCATGTGGTTTGTAATGTATCGGGCAGCACAAATGTCTTGATATCTCAGGCTGTGTATGTTGCCATACACTATGCAGATCTTTCGCATGCCCCCATACCGAATGTAACCAAACCATGATTTTTTCCTCACCAAACTTGACTGATATCTGAGAGAATATGGGGTCCATGCGGGTTCCAATAGGTCTTACACAGTATTTGTGAGAATTGGGCTGCAGTTCAACAGATGATTTATCAGAAAAATGTACCTTCTGCCACTTTTCCAAATGATCAACTAGAAGCCAAGTTATAATTTGTTGCTCTTACAACTGAGATTGATGACAAGACAGGTAGTGTAGAGAGAATTAAGTCTGTAAAGTAACAGAAAATATATCGGCAGCTTCTTACCAGGCTTTTTTACTGTACTTTACAAAACAAACACAAGCAATATATGACTTCAAACTATAAAAAATGTCAACACAAGTGCATTTTTAAACTATTCAACAGCAAAAGATTTTGAAGGAAAGATCAAGATGCTATAATGCAATTCAAAAGCATAAATAAGTGAAAAAACATTAATCGCAAAATACGAAAACCTGCTAATTAATGTTTTTTTTTACAGTACACGAGCAAAGCTGTGAGTGTTGAGTCCGTGAAGTGTTCAACATTCAACACTTCTTTTAAAAGGTTAAATAAGTGCATAATTTGAGTATTTAAAGTGCACTTATTGTGAATGCACTACTTTTAATATTTATAAGGATGATTTATAGTGATTTGGAATGCACACTTTGCCTTTGTTAAGCATCTTACAGCACTGTTCCCAGTCTAAAGGACAACCGCACGTACTGTTCCTGAAAGAGACGTCCTGTGGGGTCACATGATGTTGAAGTCATATCTGGACAGATATAGGGATATCAGCGTGAACAGATTAGGAGAAGCTTAAGCAGAACAGACACCAAAAGCAAAACGCTAATCCGGGCTCATTAGTTGAGGAATTAACTGCTATTACTCTATTACTGGGGCACAAATTAAAGCAATCTCCTGCCGGGACGCTGAAGCGCACAGTCCAAACATCCCCTGCCCACGTGCCAATGTGGATTGTCCTTTTTATTTTGACTTGCCCTCAATTTCAGATGTGGGCTTATTCATCAAAGGCTCCAAAAGAATATAAGATATTTTCTGTTATTTTAAGATGGAGTAAATTGTAGTTTTTGTTAATAGGATTTTTTTTTTTAGTTTTAGTTATTTGGTTTAGTAATATTATTGGTCTTTTATGCCTTTATAGTTTTCATTTATTCCTATTTCAGTTTAAGTCAATTAAGCCTTAAGATAAACTAAATAAAAAAGTTTAATCTTTTTTTTTTAGCAACTAGGTTTTTCAACTAGCTGGTTCTTAAATTATTATATTGATTGATTGATTGATTCATTGATTTATTTATTTTTTGACCATATTTAGTTAACCATATTTAGGCCTGTCACAATGAGGAATATTTGTTGTGCGATATTCTGTCACAGAAACTGGTACAATAAGTAATATTATTGTCATTTTGAGATCATTTTGTGTCACTGATTACAAAACATAATATATGCAAATAGCCATAAACACTTTCAACAGACTAAGGCTTTTCATTCTTAAGGTTATTTAGATTCTGTCATTTGATGTCAAAAGTGATGTGAATGTCTTAATATATATTCTATTAAGGATGCTTTCACACAAGTATTTTTGCTCCGCACCCGAGTTTGTTTCTTGTCAGAGTACAATACGTTTAGCTAGTGTGAACGTTGTCTTCTGAACTCGGGTGTGCACCCATGAACCGTACCCAAGTCCGCTTGAAAGAGGTGGTCTGGGAACCGTTTCATGCAAACTATAGTCCGGTTGCTTGTCTCCTCCAAAAACAGCTTCTGTAGACATCGCCTGATGTTCTGAACGTTTATAAAATTTTTGCGGCAAATAGATGTGAGTCGCTTTCTGTATGTCCAAAACAGAGCGACGTCTTTTATTTTGGGCGCTTTGCTTTAGTGTCCGTCACCTAGTAACAGCCATATATAACACAGCAGCTCGATGACGCAAGCGTACCGGGGTTCAGAAGGAAAAAAGACATTGTGAACACAAACCAACCGAGAAGGTGACAAGAGGGGACAATGAACTAGGGTACAGTCCAGGCAATTGAACCAAGTGTGAGAGCACCCTAAACTTATTATTAGGTAGAATTCCAATTATTAATTTGACATCGGTAAGGTAAAATGTAATTGTCCTTATAAAATGACTTCAACATTATTTGTGAATTTGTGAATATATATTGCAACACCGAAAATTATTGAGATCATGCACAAATATTTGCTGATATATTGTGACAGGACTAACCATATTTATTTTTTTATCAAAGCTAGAAGGGCAAAGTCTGGTTGTTTGTGTATTATTAGTTTATAGTAATTTTAAACTACAATTTATTTCATTTAAAAAAAGAAATTAATAGTTTTACAGAGAAAAAAAATGTATTGTGATGATCACAGTTGAGTTTTTTTTAGTATCTAAAAAATCTGTTTTGGAGAGCCGTGTATTTAATGCATGAAAATCAGCTGGCTTTAAACACCTTCCTTGAAGTCACAACGGTGAACGATAACAAATGATTTTAAGCCCTCTTATTTACCAGTCCAACCATTGAACCTTTTGCCTTCTTGAGGAAAGGATGTGCTGGCAGACAGCTGGCCCCAGATCAGTCTATATGAGTTTATTTGTGCGTGGTCTGCTGAGTGGGCTGATGTGTCGTGTGCTGACAGCAGTAGTGGTGTGTTGCAGGCCTGCAGGCTTGTGCAGCTGCTCCACTGTTAAAGCACACTCAAAACAGACATACGTACTACAGTAGATCATGCAATCGCACATTAGATGAATAGATTCCACCTTTTTCCACACATGACTGCGTTTTGGGGAGCATACAAACAAACTCAAACAAATCATTTTAAATAACGAGGTTGTACTACAAATAATCCATATACATAGTGAGGCTGTGTTTCACTAGTGTTTTTTTTATTTATTGTAAAAAAAGGCACATGAAATCCAGCTGCAACCCATCACTGGAAAACACCCATACACTTATTCACACACATACACTACAGACAATTTAGCTAATTCACCTATAGCCCATGTCTTTGGACTTGTGGGGGTAACCAGAGCACCTGGAGGAAACCCATGCGAACACGGGGAGAACATGCAAACTCCACACAGAAATTCTAACTGACCCAGCCGAGGCTCGAACCAGTGACCTTCTTGCTGTAAGGCAACAGAGCTACCCACTGCGCTTCCGTGCCGGCCCCTCTGAGACAATTCATTCATTTTTTGTCAGTTTAGTCCCTTATCAGGAACAATAACTATTGTATTGCCAACTATTCCGGCATATGTTTTACGCAACAGTTTTTTAGTGCGTTTTAGAAAAACGTGTAGATTTTGGTTGCACTGGTCATATGAGAGAGGCTTATTGAAATTATGGGATGAT